AATATAAAACTTATATTATTTAATTAATATTAAGGAGTTAATTAGACCTAATTACTATAAATCTAATTTAAATTTAAAACTTTAGAGTTAAATTACTAATTCTTTTAATCTAAATCTATATAATCTAAAAGTAATTAAACTACTAAACTATATAGTTTAAATTTATATTAAAGTTACTTTAAAGTTAGTAAAGGTTTTATATTATAATTAATATATAATTAAAAATTAGAAATTAGAAGTATTTTAAGAAATAAAATAGAATAATAAAGTTAGTATAAAAAAGAAAATATAAGGGAAATAACTAAGAATAAAATTAATAATTATATAATTAATTTAATTACTATTTTAGGATAGGAATAGCTTTATAAAGTATAGGAGGTATTAGTTAAAAAGGGGGTATAAGATAGTAGTTAACTAAGCCTAAACCTAAGGCCTAAACCCTAACCTAAATCCCACCTTTATATAAGGGATTAGCTACACTACTTTATAGCTAGGCGCGCCTAGCGCTCATAGCTAGATTAATCAAGCCACTTCACGCATATGTAGTCCTTATAACCAACTATATGCGACCCTACAGTAGATTGTGAAGCCGGCAAGGATTGGAGCCGCATGCCGCGGCAAGCGTGGGGTCCGACATCCACAATGCGGGGTAATATCGCCTGTTTATATGCGAGGTTATTGATGCGTACTGCATGTTTCATGGATTCACTTAGCCTAAGATGTCGTCTTCCAAGCAGCTGTCGTACCGAATGCGAAGTGCAGATGGATTCCTGTAAAGCGTCACGAGACCTCAGGATACAGAATCGCGTGTGTGTTGAGGTTCAATTCCTAGATTTCTCCGATTGCAGGCCATTCAATGACATGAAGGTAGGAGAGTAGTGTGGCTGCACTCTGGGTACACTCATCCCAACAATACCATAGTGAGTTCAGTGTCCTATAAGCATCCATTGATACCCAATGGAAGGCGAGCTTTCCCATCGGCTTTGCACAGGTTTTACTGGACTGCCTCGCTTTGGATGATCATCTGTTCTACCACCTTTCTCTACTGTCAGATTACATTTTGGGAAGTGGCAACCTAGATACATTAGAAGACATAGAGTTGAATTAAAATAGATTTGCGAGAAGAACTCGTTCTCAATACCAAGTCGGACGTCGGCCTCTAAGTGGTTGATCTCCGAGCACTGAAAACACCCTTCTTCCCGACTCACTACCACGGCCACACAAGCAGGATATCTGAGCCCAAACTGCTTAAATTTGACCTGTCCCAGGAGTCTGGAAAGGTATCTGGGGAAGGATCTGACCATCCCCGCATCTAGACTGCTTACGTCGATAGTCTCGCAGGATACTCAATTGGAGACCAAGTCCGTCATGAATCCCTAATATGTGATTGTCCTTTTTTCATGTGGGATGGTGTTCACACCAGTCTACCCATCATTTCTCCGCGACCCGTGTGATACAAAGATAACGCGATTTCTTCCATTCACCAACTTCTGTGCCCAATACAAGGTTGTCTTCACCCATCGTCATGGCTCCTGGAACACCCCCTCCTGAGATTTCTGCTGCGGCGCGTCAGCCTTATTCAGAGGCTGCTGAGAACATTCCGCTGGACAATATGGTCGTCAAAGAAGTCAAGGTCCGCTCAGTTGAGCTAACTGACGCTGTCGCCAAAGACAAACCGAACTACCGTTCCCGATCGCAAGTCACCCTCTGCGTGATCATCCTATTCGTCACACTGAGTAAGTCAATGATCGTACACGATTCTTGGGAATATGATGGCTTACTTCTTGCTCGTCAGATGGCTGCATGAACGGATACGACGGCTCTGTTATGAGCTCCATCAATGCTATGGACCAGTTTCACGAATACTACGACGTTGGCAGAACTGGACCTACGATTGGTTTCGTCATGGCTATCTACACTGCTGGTCAAATTTGCGGAAGCATCTTCTCGGCCGGAGTTATTGACACTTTCGGTCGAAAATACGGGATGGCGGTTGGCTCAGCATTCATCATCATCGGCTCTGTCGTTCAAGCAACGAGCCAAACTCTTTCCGCGTTCATAGGCGGTAGGTTCATCGTCGGCTTCGGCGTCCCCATGTGCACGATTGCTGCACCAACATACATCGTCGAGATGGCGTACCCCACGTGGCGAGGTCTGGCCGGCGGTCTCTACAACGTCTTGGGCTGGTACATTGGCTCTTTGAGTAAGTCGCCGCTGGTGCACGCTACTGCTCTTCCGACTTTAATGCAATACCACCAGCTGCTACTTGGACGTGTTATGGCACCGCAAACATCCCCGGCGACATGTCATGGCGCGTGCCATACATCGTACAGGTCGTCCCGGCGGCGATCATGTCAGCTACGGTTTAGTTCATCCCAGAGAGCCCGCGTTGGCTCTTCGCTAAGCAAAAGGATGATGTCGCTAAGTCTGTCCTTACTAAGTACCACGGGAATGGCAGCCCAGACTCTGCTGTCGTTAGGCTTGAATGCGAGAAAATCAAGTTCTCCTTGGAGGCCGAGGCAGAGCTGACTCGTGGGAGATGGTGGGATTACAAGATTCTCGTCAAGAACCGCGCCAACCGGTATCGCATGTGGATTCTTGTTCTGATCACCGTCTTCAGTCAGTTCACTGGCGGTGCTGTCATAAGCTATTTTCTTCCATGTATGTCAACATGAGTCAGTTCGTCCCGGTTTAGAGAAACTCCAACTAATGCATACCTAACAGCCATTCTGGAAACCGTCGGCATCACATCATCCTCCCAGCAGCTCCTGATGAATGCTTTAAACACGGTGTTCTCGTTCTGCGGCGGGATAGTTGGCGCATTCTTTGTTGATAAAGCCGGTCGCCGACCCTTACTGCTCTGGGGCGTCTTTCTCTCCGGTTTGGTGTACATCCCTATCAACGTTCTCGCGGCTCTTTCCGGTGGTCACATAGACACGGCATCAGGATACGCATTCATCGCCATGATATTTCTGTATGGAATTGTCATGTCGTTCACATGGACACCACTTCAGGCTCTTTATCCAGCAGAAATTCTTAGCACCGACATACGGGCTAAAGGAATCGCAGCAGATAAATTTGTGTCAGGTATCGCAAGTTTCATCAACCTCTACGCGACGCCGATTGCTCTCAAGGACATTGGATGGAAGACATACACCATTTTTCTGGTTCTTCATTTCGTCCATCTGGTACTGATGTACTTCGTTACCGTTGAAACCAAAGGAAGATCTTTGGAAGAGCTTGAGGAGATATTCAACGATCCGAAACCCGTCCAGAGGAGCAAGCAGCTGAGCAGAGTTGTTGTCGGAGCTGGCGTTGGTGTCAAGGTTGCGGATGCTTAAGAATTTGGATGCCTAATAGTCTGCCCCACGTACACAATCATCGATACAACAAGGCTATTTCTATTCTTGCAATGAATCTTGGGTATGGATCAACCTGGTTTCATGTGAAACAGATAGTACAAGTTACTCAACCTTCCTAGGTGTAATGTAGCAGTTAACAGGTCCCTTCTCCCAGAGCAGGAACGCCTGGCTCCTGTCATCCCAGCCCTTGCTATCCTCCGCAATTCTCATGTCAAAGTTCCAGACCATTCTGGCAACAATCAAACGCATCTCCGCATATGCCAAGCTGTTTTGTGGTCAGTGAATTTCACGTCGTACCAGGAGATAGCCCAGGGGCGAACTCACTTTCTTCCGATACAGTTCCTTGGACCAACAGAAAACGGTTGGAACGCCTCCTTCCTGTCACCGGAGAATCGCGGATCGTCGAGCCAGCGCTCGGGAATAAAGGAGTCGGGCAAGGTGAAATGGTCGGGGTTGTGGAAAACAGGCCAGTGCCAAACCTGGACAAGGCTCTAGGCTTCATTAGTCGTGCGATCAAGCTGTAGCCTGTGTCTGAAGTGCAACTTACTCCTTTTGGCACGTGCTGTCCTAAGAAAAGGCCATCACCCTCGGATACCCTGCGCATGATGCCCGTTGGAACAGGTGGGTACATGCGGAGGCTTTCGTTGATGATAGCCTGCATGTACTGAAGCTTCTGCACGCTAACCATGTTGATGTCGTTTTCAGTGGCAAAGGCCGACCGGACCTCGTTGTTGAGCTTCTCCAAAGCACTTGTATGTGTGGTGAGGTAGTACGTGATGGCCGACAGCGCAGTCGCAGTAGTCTCGGATCCCGCGACGATCAGAGTTGAGGAGTTTGCACGTAGCTCTTCAAACTGCAGCTCCTGTGAAGCATTAGCGAGGAAGCCCAGATATAATTGCAAAATCACCTACCATGGGACCCTTCTTCCGCGTCATGGAGTCCATAAAGTCCGGGCGCTCCGTTTGGGTGGCAAGTCTCTTCATGACCTTCTCGCGTGTGAGTTGTATGTGCTGCTCTCTCTTGTTCCTGATGCTCGCGGGTATGAACTTCATTAAAAGGTTCTCGATAAGAGGATAACGTCGGATGTTGAACTTAAAGGCCCCCTCCTTGACGCCAGCGAACAGAATTTTGACCCAGGGATGGTAGTCGCTGTTGTCCAAACAACCGAAGGGTTCGCCGAATGCTAGGTCTCCAATCACGTCGAATGTCGTCCAGTTGTACCACGCAACCATATCCAGCGGCTTAGATCCTCCAGCACAGTTCTCATGCAGCCGCTGGAACAGCAAGTCCACATACTTCTTGATGATGGATTCTTGGTCGAACATCGACTGAGCTGAGAAGCCATGGGAGAGCGCTCGTCGGTATCGGGAGTGATCTTCGCGGTTACCGCCAATAATGCTTTGCCTGTTATCGCGCATGAAGACTTCATCCCTGCCGTGATCGCCAGTTCCGTTCTTGAGGTTACCATGCAAGTCCTTCCATGCGTCGGGGTGGTTGTAGGCAAGCTCGTTCGGGGCGACTCGCACGATTGGGCCATACTCTTGATGAAGCTCGAAGATTTTCTTGTGCATTTGACCAGAGAGGTATGCCCGGGTATACGGAAGACGAGTCGCGGCCCACCACTTTGGCCCAGGGTATTTTCGCAGGGGATGGAAGAACACATTGTAAGTGAGGACCGAAACAAGAGTGACCAGGCCCTGTTCGCGGTGTTAGAAATCAACGCAGCTGGAATCCGACTTCGAAGAAAAGGGGTTGACGCACTAGACAAGTCGCTAGCAAAAGCCCCCACGCGACGTTGTGAAGACTGAAGAGCCGAGCTCTGTCATCGAGAAGATGAGTTGCCATATTCGGTTGATGCGTCAAAATGCTCCAAAAACTATGCCAAACTCAGTCACACTTGGGAAGATGAAGCTGTAGAGGTATCTTTACCACTGAAGACTGGACTGAAGTCTCTTTAATTCAAGAAGAGAGCGGGATTCGGTCCAGGACTCTTCAGCCGAAGCCCCTATGAAACGACGATCTTCGAGACACAACTGCAGGGCACGGTTGCATCTCTGTGGGTATCACGCGAAGTCCGCGCATAATCCGGCTGTCATCGCGCCTCCGGACCCCGCGATTTGCACAATTCCTTGCATAACTCGTCCGGCTTGGCCCGCGTCCGGCCCATTCCGTCCCACTTGAGATCGCAGATTGCGGCACATCCATGCCGCGTTGCAGCCGTTGTGCAGTCGGCAGTTCTGAACGTTTGGGTTTAGAACTTGCGGAGCAGTGGAGCAATCTGTAAGGCCTGACTGAGCGGTAATCTTCGTGTGATGATTGGGCGCGAGAACGTCGCTCGAATGCGAGATTTCATGAACCTGGCTTCCAAGCCGGCTAAGAGCAGCCCCTCCCCAAAAAAAAAAGGCTATACGGGGCACGGAGTTCAAACGTCATGATGAACCGGACGATGCTACCCTTGCTTGAAAACATTGGCGTTGATAGGTTCGTGCTTTTGGAAGCGAGGAGTTGTCGCGACCCCGACACGTCTAACTGCATCTTTCTCAGGCCACAATAATATGCATTGATACGCACCATGTGCGTGAACGCGGAAATGTTCAAGCGTCCGTGCTTTAAGTCTGCATAACTTCCCCGTGGCAAGAGACATCCATGTCTGCGCGGCACAAACTGCCAATAACGCAAAGACATTTGCAGTCAGGCGATCAAGTTGAAATTGGTGAACCATGACATGGGCTCTTGAGAAGCTGACGAGAGCGTTGCAGGTAGGTTGTCACGAGCTATGACAGTGAAACAGGAGTTCGATGTTGGTTTTCGGCGCCGACGCGGCACCGACTTCGCACGGCCGAGTGGACAGACTCGCCGGTTTGTGGAGCTATCAAGTCCGATGTCACTGGGTCCGATCCACGGAAAGTGTTAGAAGGGACTTCTATGCCATGTGCTCCATCTCCAAGTTTTAACCGAGCCTCGACTGCGTTGAGCCCCGCGATACCGGTTTAAATCCGACATAACGTTGGTGGAAAGGTCATACCATCTTCACACTGATCGAGTTGTGCCTCGGACCAATCGTCGTGATTATTATTATAAGGTCTGCGTGGTACATCAGGGCCAACACATCAACTGACATCATCAATCCCAACTTGCAGGAGGTATACACTGCAGACAACTGATCAACTCATTAGGAATTGCGAAGATCGGTTGCAAACGGACTTGGCATTTGCTTACGTCCGTTTCTTGCACGTAACTCACATATGGACTATCAGTCGAAAGTTTATGTGATATCTCATTTAGTGAATGCTCTCCAGGCAACCCCCATTCTATGGAGAAGTTAGTGCAGTCGCCAACCAATGGCTGATGATCATTGGTTGGCCCCATCGATCGTAGCTCTTCGAAATACTACCTCGAGCTGACATTGGTCATAGATCCATGGACATTTGGGTTTCGAGGGGCACAGCAACTTAGGTTCCTTCCAAATTGGGACTTGCCAACAAAGTTCATACTTATTCGCGGGAGACTTTAGGTTACAAGACTTTCGGTCGAGACTAGATTGGGGGAAATCTTGCTACCACGTGTCACACCCTCAAGTGAGCCCAAATATAGAAGATTCGTTGAAATTATTCAACTCGAAAACCAAAACCGAGGAAGGTCACAACTATCTTTGTAAGATGTGAAAGGGTTGATGGGATTAGGTTTTAGTAGCCAACCTTGGCACAAGTCGCTGACGTTACATTGATGCATTCAAGCCGTAAGAATCGAGGAACCATACATGCAGATGCTGACATGCTTATACGTATCAGTAGAAACAGCCACCTATTATCAGTCAGGCGTTCTTGGCATTAGAAACTAACGTTGCTTCCTATTGCCAGCCGGTCAGCAATGGAGCCAGAGCAATGCTGTCATAGAAAGTTTGGTAGTCATCCCACTCTCTTGCTTGCTTCAAGTTCTCAAGGTGGCAGGTAAACCTGCAATTCAATAAAAGGATTTGAATGCTGGGCAGTCATCGCCCTCTATACGAGCCTCAGGAAAGCCTTTGGAAGATTAGACTGTTTGAGCTTTTGTCGTCTCTTACTGAATGTTTCCACACCACTGATTAGAGATTTGAGGAGCAAAGCGTACATACCTAGTACAATTGTTTGATAATTCGATTTCGAACATACAACATTGCTAAGTCCGGTTGAAATTCTCATGAGGTACGCAAGAACATGACGCCAGGAACAAGCGTCGGTTTCTGGCCGAGTATGAACAGTATGTATGAACATCTGAGGAAGAATCCTTGGTGGTTAAAGTACAGGGAGTCCCAACGTATTACGGTTGAAAACATTTGGAAGAAGTATTCAAGTCCAGCAGTCACAACCATCAACTTGAAAGAACTCATTTTCACCACACAGGGACCAGAGATCAGAAGCACAACAACTCACATTTTGAAGATGGAGTTCTCTCTCCTCACACTTGCCGTTGCGGCGTTCGCCTCGATTTCTGTCACATCCATGGCGGGATGATGTCTCCGTCGCCATGCGGTCTGAAGATCACCCTCTCGAAGCTCGTCAGATTTCTAGCGGTTACTACTACTTGTAAGACCTCCTGAGTGTCTCTTCTATAGCATGCTTTACTGACTGATTGTGTTTCTGACAGCGCCTCGCCCACTTTCTGCGTTTCTACCGTCTGCATGTGCACGGGATCTCGCATCTACTATCTCAACAAGGACAGCCAGAGCCGCGGCCTGCACTGCTGCGACCCTCCTGAGGGCTACATCGGAACTTGGTTACACCAGCTAGCCGGGTTCCTGCTGCCGCATTGCCAGCGACGGCGCAGTTGAAGAGGATGGAGGCGATGGTTCCGTTGAGACTATCGAGGCATCTCGCCTGGACAAGGACTATTCCGTACGCAGAGCGCTATATGCTCAATTGGTAATTTGCGAAAAGATGCTTCGATCTCTAGGGTCCAAGTAGATGGTCGCTTCTGAGGCATGCTTCACTCATCCTGTAACCTCACTAGCCACTATCTCAAGTATGTACCTTGGTCAGTGAAATGGAAATGCGACTCGTGCGCAATGCTGTATAACAAATCGGGACAATACCAATTCGCAATTTACCTGCAAATTGCACCAGTTCTAGAACATAGTAGAGCCATGGATTAGCGTTCGACACGCCTTCGTCCCCTCTACGGATAATCGGCATGCCGTACAGACGGCATTCGGCACATTTTGAAGTTTCAAAGGCAACATCCGCAACTCAATCCTAGCTAAAACTATGAGCTCCACCACATAACCTTAACAACACGCGTTCGCGGGAGACGCGGGAGCCGCGCGCCAATGCAGATATTCTGCGTGAAGTCTAATATTGACGTCACGTTTACCTGGTGGTCATGGGTGCACATTTTCTCCATCCATCCTGTGGGTCAAAACAACACAACAGAATCAAAAGCACCCGTAACAGAAACAGGGAAACACCCGAGTCAAGTCATCCAAATCACATTGATCCCAATATGCCCTTGTGAGAATTCTCTCATCATGTCTTTGTGTGCTCTCTCACAAGCTCCCGCAAAGCAATGCGGATGAGAATGTCACGACAGCTGACGCAAAGAGCAGACCGTTTCATGCATTGCTTGCGAATAATCTAACTGAATGCTTATCATCCTGGCATACTTCAGGCCCCCTAGAAGCAGTAAACCAGACTTGATGAATCATGGCCGCCAAAAAGAATGTCTTTGATGTATTACATGCGAAGAGAAACCGAACTGCTCCAGGTCTTGGGACTCCGCGACGGGTGGTCAAAGGAGCTTGAGAAGAGGAAGGTTGCATTCCTCTTTAAACGCGTGAACATTCGCTGTATTTCTTTCTCATTTCAGGAAGGTGACGGACGGTTTCCATATCAAGTTGAACTCGTCTCGTGATAACTAAATTGGATGAACGGGGATACCTGCGTGCGGACTGCTCATCCTTGAACGATTCCGCAGTCGTCAAAAAGCCGGGCGCAGCCCTCGAATAATTGGGGCCGTGGACTCGCAATGGCTCGGAGAGCGGGAGTGCGGGCAGTGAGCAGACGAACCCCAGTCGCAACGTTCTAGGATGATCGGGATCTCACTCAACAACCATAACAAGGACCAGGAGGGGGCTTTGACAACAGAAATAGAGACGGCTTTGAAATCTTGCAACCCTGATAGGTGCCGAGTCACCGGCAAAAGACTACAGTAGAGGCGATGGGCAAGACGGGCTGCCCTAAAAAACTGGGAGATCTTGGCTAAGGCTTGTTCCTGTACCCATTCGTGAAGGCTCGCCGCTGCAGAAGGCGGGAAAACCGATGGTCATGATGCAACGCTCCGGGAAGCAAGTCTTGGCGATGCTGTCCCTGCATGAAATGGGCTGAAAATTTCACCAAATCACCAAAGTCCATGGGACGCGTAGGACTGAAACACGTTGGATTGGACTGTAAAGTGATGGCTGGCTGACCACGGCATAGACTGTGTAGTAATCACAGGATGGATCTAATCTACGAATACAGAAAGGATAGAGAGAAAAGAAAAAAGCGCTCAAAATCTCTCGGCACGGCAACAAACCCGACGAGACGCACCCATCCCTCCGGACGTGATAACGTCGGCAAATGTGACCAACTGCTAGCCACATAAAATTCCGCTGTGCTCTATGTGACTAGCGGGCGGTGACGCTGTGGAAAGAAAGGGAGCCTCGTCGGCCGGAAATAGAGCATTCTGCCCATAGCGACACGCGTCGGGTGACGACTCAGAGACCTCCCGCCCAAAGGCCTCGACTCCTCGGGGTGGGTGAGGCTAGTCCGTAGCAGCCAATGGCATTTCGCTGGATTGATTGGGCGCACCAAGACTGGCCCGGTCCTCGCCCCCGAAATTTAGGGATCCCCGGCCGGTCGGGTGTTTTTCAACTCTATGTCGGGCATCCCGGACGTTCCCCGGCCGATTCATGTTTCCTAGGTTGCGGGAGCGCAGACACCAGACGAACTCTATTGCGCAGAGCAGGATCATAGCTCTCGAGTGTCACCGTTGTTTCTTTGCCTTTTCAGACGAAGTCGAAGTATTAATCATGAAGTCGTAGTATGGTTTCCTTTGGGGTTAGTTACGAGCGCATGCGTTTACCCAGGGAGAAGACTTTCCGGTCGATCCAAATTTGCACGACCGCATCAGGCTGGCGGTTCAGAAATTTCTTTCACTACCCAAATTTCCATTCATACTGCCAAAAGGTCCTTCGAGCCGCGGTTGCGCACATTACCCGCCCCTTTCGAAAGCCCTCCCACAGACCGAGGGAACCTGGGTTGGAAGGGAGTAAACAGGCCCCTCTACCCCTCGATAGGGTGAATTGTCAGCAAAATTTGGTCCAATCTCATTGAAGCTGCGTAAACGCACAGCGGCGCCACCCGCGATGTGGGCACTGCCTCGTCATCGGGTGCCCCCTAACGAGAAGCTTTTGCCAACGTCGGTTTCCACAAGTCTTCGGGAAGTGGGAGGTCGACCAGGAGTTCGTTCCGCGGGCTGCTCCACCCCGGATCGACCCCGGGTTCCGCTTTAGAACCATCCTCTTTCCTTCCTTGGAATGCTTGAGTGCCCGTGGTCTGCTTGGCGTAGCACTCCGTATGCCGTTGAGGCTGAGTTAAGGACAACCGCTGTGGGGACGCATTGACTCGAAAATGCGCCCGGCGGAGAACAAAGTCGTGTAACTGAGGCTCAGGACCTGCGAACCCCTGTGAGTGCCACGACTGCCAACGGGTTGTGGATGACCTTTTGCGCCGCGCTGGTTGGACGGGATCTTCAGACGACGCGGTCCAACCGCCGTAGACATTGGACGGAAACGATCGAAAATAGCAAGTGTGGACTGGCGGAAAGGGTGGGATGACGAGGGCTCTCCCATGCTTTGGGTCCAGGTCCCAGGCTGGGGATCGGACGAAGGCGACGAGCCCCTCTCCAGTCCACATCACGTACGCGGCGTCGAGAGATAGAGGACGATGAAGATCGACGTTTGTATAAAGACCGGCGAGGAAGTCGATCATCTCGGACTTTTTTTCCTCACCAGCCGCAACCACCGCAGCAACATTCGCTTCAACAACAGCAAGAACACCAACACAATCGTTTTCGACATTCGCTCATTGTCTTGATACCAACAGTTCTTCCTGACACACAATGGTCCGCATCACCGCCCTCTCGGCCGCTGGCCTTGCCATCGCCGGCCTCGTCTCCGCCCACCCCGGCGAGAAGCACGACCACCACAAGATGAAGCGCGACATCGCCCTCCGTGACGGTGTTGCCAACATCGGCCAGCGCTCCCTGGCTTCTTGCTCCAACTCTGCTGGTGCCCAGAAGCGCCAGGCCCGCGCCGTTGAGCGCCGCGCCCAGAAGGTCAAGGAGATCCGCGCCAAGAAGGGCCTCACTACCCGTAAGCCGCCTCTTCTGCCCCCAGTCTCACCGAGCTTGAAAGCTGACATCACCAAAAGCCTCCAAGAAGTACCGCCGCGACCTCGACCAGCTCAACGCCTGGGAGGCCATCAACCACAACATGACCGGCCAGTCCACCAACGGCATCTTCTCCTCCATCGAGGACGTCTTCAGCGCCAACACCTCCTGCGTCCTCTCCCCTGAGATCACCGGCGGCCCCTACTACGTCGTCGGCGAGTACATGCGCTCCAACGTCATCGAGTCCGAGTTCTGCGACGGTGTCCCCGTCTTCCTCGAGGTCCAGTACGTCGACGTCAACACCTGCGACCCCGTCCCCCAGGTCGCCGTCGACATCTGGAACTGCAACGCCACCGGTGTTTACTCCGGCGTCGAGTCCGGCCAGGCCGGCCTGAACACCACCTTCCTCCGTGGTATCCAGCTCTCCGACCACGACGGTGTCGTCCAGTTCGAGACCATCTTCCCCGGCCACTACGAGGGCCGTGCCGTCCACACCCACTTGTTGTCGCACACCAACGCGACTCTGATGCCCAACGGCACCATCTCCGTCTGGGATGCTCCCGTCGCCCACATCGGCCAGCTCTTCTGGCCCGAGTCTCTGCGCGAGACTATCGAGGAGCTTGCTCCCTACAACACCAACACCGTCGAGGTCACCACCAATGCCGAAGACATGTGGTCCATCCTCCAGGCCGACGAGTCCTACGACCCCTTCCCCCAGTTCGTCTACCTCGGCGAGGATGTCTCTGACGGTCTCTTCGCCTGGATCCAGATTGGCATCAACGCCTCTGCCGACTACCAGACCGATGACTACTACGGCGTCGCTGCCTACCTCGGCGAGGACGGTGGCCACTCTACCGGCTACACTGTCGGCGGTGGCGGTGGTGGCGGCGGCAACGGCACCGGCAACGGTACCATGTCCGGCGCTCCCCCCTCCGGCACCGGTGCTCCCCCTTCTTAAAGTGTGATTTTTAGGGCGCGGGCCTGATGCACGGATCGGCTAGCCGTGTCAACTTTTCCTTTTTGTATGATATTAGAGATACCTATAGACAGCCATTGAACATACAAGCCGCGGTGGAAGCGCACATTCTTATCCTTCAATCCCTTTTCCCTCATTCGTTCTTACCTAGTGATGTGTGCGCCCCTTTGATACCTGTGATAGCATGCCCGGCCCCGGGACCCATACTTACCGGGTTGTGGGGTCCGCTAACCGAGCAGGCGCCGATGCCGCGCGGCCGCTGTCCTAGCGGGACTGTCCGGAGGTAGAACTTTGCCGAAAGGAATCTTCGGAGATCTTGTACATTTCAATCACCCGTGTCCTGATCGGAAAGCTTGAGAAGCTGAATGATTAAGCCGCACAAGGAAGCCACCCGTCGGCAGACAATCCTGGCAGTAAAGATGTCGACA